TGGGAGCTGTGGTTGTAGATTAGTGCGAATAGATACTCGGCGCGAAACCCCGATCCAGCAAATCACCCTGCAGCCTACGGTGAACCAACCTACGAATCCCTTCCACTCGCCTCTTCAAACGAAATGAAAGGTACTCCGACATCAGCCTATCAAGAGATTCTTCGAAACCCAGTTTTTCTACAATATTCATAGTTACCTGGTCGTTGGTAAGCAGGTCTTGACCCAAGCCAGGGATTGCAGAGAGAACCTGAGAGAAGGATCCAATCTTCAATATATTTTGAAATTGTTCATACATATTCCTCAATGTAAAAACTCCCTGTCTGAGTTTTTTCATGAGTTCTTCATTTTCGTCCAGCTTGAGCTCGTTTACCTATACGTTTTAAGGTATGGGATTAGTAAAATTTAAAAATTTAATGAAAGAGCCTATGCTAAAGCAATAATCAAATCAATATTAAAACTAGCTCATAAATGGATTATAACGAATAATACGCATGAATCGGCCAGTATGCTGCAAAAAATGAACAAATACACTACGTTATAAAAGTTAGGCACTCACCCGCTCAACAAGACCCTCTAAATCACCTAGACCAAGTAATTTCTGAACAAACGGCTGGACACGGAATTGCTCAAAGTCTTCTATGTGCTCCCCGGTACCAATAAATATTATGGGACTGTGAGTGGCAGCAACAGCACTAAGCGCACCACCGCCTAAGACAAGAGCGGAATTAAGAAATGATTAAAAATCCAAAATAAAATCGCGAGAAAGATTGAACGAATAAAGAGACATAAAAAGTGAGCATTAACCTCTAGCGTGCCCGTCCAATTTAGTTATTATAACCGATGATACATCTACTTTAGACTTAAATGCGCTAGCTTGTGCTTCACAGGCTTGTCCAATCGATGCATCCATTACATAAATAACTTGATCGGGTCCAATAGCATTTGATACCTGGAGCATTTCTTCGAAGAGAGAATCTTCTTGCTTGTGTCGACCACTTGTATCAACTATTATGACATCAAAATTTTCTTCTTCAAATTTTTTTACGCCATCCCGGGCTATTACGACAGGATCTGTTTCCGTGTATGATCCATAATAGGGTATCCGTGCCTTTGTGGCATTTTGCTTTAGTTGATCAAAAGCGCCGGCACGATACGTATCAGCACATATAAGACAGGTCTTCCAACCTTTTCTCTGATAGTAGAAAGCGAGTTTAGTTGCAGTTGTCGTTTTACCACTACCTTGAAGCCCAACAAACATGATCACATTAGATGAACCCTTGTGTGGTTGCCATGCTTTGACTTGTGGGTCTACAAGCCGTACAAGTTCCCTAAAAAGAGCTGACTGTATCATCTTCCGCTTGTTTAATCCGGCAGCCATTTCATCGAAATCGATCTGACTTCGGACATTCTCGCGAAGCTGTTTGACCAAGCGAATGTTCACATCAGCTTCAATAAGAGCAGTGCATACTTCCTTTAAAAGGCTATTAAGCACATCCTCATTAATGACCGTTGCGTTGCCCAAGGACCTCAAAGCAGAAGTTATTTTGCGGCCCAACTCGGCCAGAACCATGATGAGAAAATCGAGCTGTAGATATAGGAAGGTAGAAAATCGCGGTGCATGAATTCATACAACTAAACGAGTGACATGCTGGCAACTACCTTAGAATATAGAGCTAAGCAAAATTTCAATTAGGGTTATTTATTTGTAAGGCTTATTTTTTTATTCTATTGCTTGTGGATATTATGAATAGAAGCGAGTAATAAATTAATTCTTCAGTCATAGTGTGCTATTTATTTTAGTTAAAATTGTTAATTTGCAATTTTTGTTAGCTAATTTTTTCTTTATTTTAAGCAAAATTAGAATCAATCATCGTAACCAACGAATGAGAGTAGGATAGTTTATTTTTAAATAATATAAAATACGTTCAAAACCACATAATTGCACTGACATAGCCATTCTGGATAACCAAGTGCTTACTAGGGATGAAACTGAAATGTGTATTTTCTAACTAAAGTTATTTAAGAGGCTTTTAGAAAATGCGGAAAATGTTAACAATGGAGTATGCGAGCCAGGTGCGTTTAAAGAGGAAATGCAAAAAGGTTATATCAATTGGTGTGATTATTTAGGCTATTGAGTAACGGTAACTACCTAAAATTTAACAACACTGAAATAAAGATACCATTTTACTCATGATATTACTCATCTATTTGGAAAAACACAAATCTTAAGAGGCAATTATTCTTTTTTTATGAGTTTCACAGCGGACCTATGCTTCCCAGATATTTTGCTGTCATATATGCTAAGCATGGAGCTAAACTTCATTGAACTAATAAATAAGGATGATTATTCAGTCTGTAAGAAAACAAAAATACACATCCTTTTGGTCTTTATATTTAATTATGGTGGTAAGATCGCCAGTCAATGCACTGATTACAGCAGATCAAATAAAACAATCGTAAGTCGACTTTGTCATTTGAATTTTCCTTACGGTTGTAAGTGTTATGGCATTCCTCTTAGTCTTTGCAATTTAATGAGAATTTATCATTTCGATAAGATTAATAATGCATTATATCAAGGTGAGACATGATAAGGAGAGAGGACAATTATTCAAGCTTTTAGATATAAAATCTAAAATTAGGCATAATTCGATTAAGATTCTTACCTTGGAGGATTTCCTTGAGCCATAGAAAATGAGTGAACAAATCTCGAAAATAATATCAGACTTAATAAAAAAAAAGCGGAAAGGGTTGGACAAGCATGGGATATACAGGCAGCCCAAGATCCAACAACCCGACAAAAATGAAGATAAATCTAGAATGACTGATCTCATAGTCCAGACAAGTGATAAAGATCTAATCGTGAATCTATCTTTCGTCTCTCTTGACCTAGAAACCACAGAGATCTTTAAAGCTGGACTAAACCTTACACTACGGAATGAAATGAAGATAATCAAGGAAATTATAAGGAGGATGAGAAATACCTCTGAGAACCTACTTGAAGGATAAAAATGAGAGCTGGAAATGTAAATCATCCTAAAAATATTGGCGCATCAAGAACGCATGGATAGGACAAGCATAACGAAGATATATATGTAATTGAGAAGAAATGATCAGGTAGTCCTAAAAGCGGGCAACGAAGGTGCCATGGTGGTGATGGACAGGAAGAAATATACTGAGAAAAGAACCCCTACGACTATGCAGAAAAATAGATACAGAAAGACTAGAGATAGCTGAACACATATTTCTTCCTAGCCACACAATTAAATAGAGTGCAAAGGAAGAACTGGCTTTCTATGGGGAAAATACCATAAAACTGAAGATCAGGGAGGCCATGGACAACCTTTTTCAAATAAACTAGATAAGCAGGATATTAGAATAGGGACAAATCAGCGAAAATTTTACGTACTGCTTGGACGGACTTGGAGATTTATCAAATACATCAAAATGAATACACTTGTATCAAAGACAATTATTTAACAATAGGAAGAGACCTCGCCAAGGTGTGGCACATGAGGGACAAAGGAAAGTCAATAAAAGGCAATTGTAGTGAGACGAGGCAAACCTGGAATCGGCCAACAATTTACCACATGTAGGATGTGGGATAGAAAATTTAAAGCTGAGGGTATTAGTAAGCCAGATATAGGTTACCAGTGTGTGCGCTTTCGTGCAGTTTTCGTGTGTGTCTTAATGGGTGGTGACTGGTGACAATCTTGATCACGGGGGATACAACTAACGCACGCATGCTTGTGCACATTCCCTTTACATTGAAGCTGGCATTTAATATGCTCCCTACGACCTGATTATATTTATTCTTCAAAGAGATTTATATGAATTCTTTACTCCATTTGGCAGCTTATCATTCACTTCTAATTTAAGATAAATAAATTTCGCAACGCTTTTTACGTGTTTATTGTTAACTATCGGCCTCAGTTGTGTGATTTTGACAGGGAGTATGCGACTCTTGGTCATTCATCCTTTTCTAATATTCTTTTTATTTTGCATTTATATATTTCCTAGTTTTTAGTCATTTCTTAAATAGCCCTCTCGATTTTAGCTATTGGTTGTTAGCAGCAGCAAAGTTTCTCTGTCCCTGAGAACATTTTCCCTTCTATTTATAGTTTCTTCCCTATCCATTATTATGTGGAAAAAGGTGTTTATTTGTTGAACTATCTAATGATTCAAAGATATGAAGAGCAAGATGGCGTAACACTCGGTATGGTCGAAATGTCTTTTTGATACATAGAAGTTTTCGCAACTTGGTCTGCTGAAATGGTTGTGCTTTTAATGTTCAAAAGAAAGAATGTGGACTGTCTCTAAAATATAAAACGCTTTTACTCTACAGCTCTACAGTTAAAGACCCCAAAACGAAGTGAAAAAAGGAAAACTAGTGTTACCAAGTGTGCTATTTAGAAATGGCTGAATACAGAATGGGGTCTGACAATAGAAAGGCAATCATTGAAAGACAGCTCGAAATAGAGAGTCTGAACTCGGCGAACCACAACAGAAGAGAGGAAGAGAAGGAAGAAAACGTGACCAACATAAACAGGATGTTAGCTACGTGATAAAATGTTGCGTAATTTTCCACGTTAACTTGAGATTAAACGATGCAGTGCCAAGCTTTGATTGTTAGACAAAATAAAGAGTAGAGATTAGTCACGCATTCACATGCTCTCTGCGCCCAAGGATGTTGGGCCATGGTTACGTATGGGATTTAACAAAACTAAGCCTTGAATGAGAAAAGTGTGGGATTATTTTACTACAATACTCCCCTCGAAAAGACTAACCCTATCGGAGTAGACTCGACAGGAAGAGGACTGTGATCATAAAGATGTCGAGAAGCAAGAGGACGAATGGCAAAAATAGAGCATGATCGAGATAACTAAAATAGCTTACTGTATTTTGTGCTGCAAAACATAGAGACGCCAAAGGATAGGACGCTGCGAAGGCTCAAAACTGATAGGCGTTGATTTGAAATCGGCTTTGAGGCAAGGTTGTGTTGCTTCTGCAGAGCAACGGTTGTCCAGTGGATGTGGACATAAGGAAACTGTCGTGTTAAGGCCTTGCGTAGGAGAAAGGCGCTAGCTGAGTGCAGGCTTCCTTAAACGGAAGACTGGCCAAATTTCTACCTTCACTGATGTAGAAAAGATATAGAGTAGCGTACGAGATTGAGTCGAATTTATAAAGGGGCGCGTAAAGGTGCGTGCATTTGATGTCCAGAAGGATAGGCGCCAAGTTGACTATCCGGGAATGTCAAAAAAGGGAGGGTCCAGCCGGTAGAGAAAACGTTGAAGCTTACAATGGGCGGATTTTTTAGATTGGCCGTTGATCTGAGAAAGTGGTAACAGCGGTTTGTCGTATTGGCTGGAAACACAACCAAATAATAGGGTAATGAATTGATGTTTATATTGCTAATAAGAGCTCAAATATCGGACTCACGAGTTAAGTAAATCAGAATAATATTTCCTATAGATCCGTGTTCGGCTTTGCGCTACCGTATAGGATAACCCAGCCTTGTACAGAGGAACAAGAAAATGAGTCCATGAGTTCTTTGTATATAAGAAGGAAAGTTACGGGCAAGGATCTTGATGTGAGAAAATTCAGACGATGATGTGGTGTGGTGTAGTTGCAAGAAAAAAGTGTTCTTTCACAGAGGATAACGACGGCACTAGGGGAGCAATGCGACAAGGAGTGTCAGTTGAGGTAGTTTCTGGCATAAAACACCACGTTTTGATTGGTTCAACGGATATGCTCAATGTGGTGACTAGATTCACCTAGTTCCCATGGTACAGTGCCGATGAGTCATGCTCCGCCTGGTGTTGCATGAGTCTAAAGATAACAGTGAAATGTAGCCAAACTGATTGTCGAGTAGTCACTATATCCTAACACTCCACTTTCTGCCACGGCCTATCTATCTATTCCTTACCCTTTTATCTCACTCCAGCCCTATCCCAACTTCTGACACTATTACATTTCACACGTCAAAAGGTGTACCCTATTGGTAAGTTTGGTGTGGCACCAGACTTGGGCTTCCTATCGGATCTGCCTCATTGTCTTGTAGGTCCGTTTCTTATCTTTCCTATTGACTAATTTCACTCAATTCAAGTCCAAGTATGAGTTTCACTTCGGGTGCTATTCCTTAAGCCTTTAGAGGCACGTACACAGTCGCTACACCGAGAAGAGCATTTATTCCATGAGTCCCATGCTTACAGACATTTAGCGTTGCCTTCACGGGTCGTCTTCTTCATTCAACTCGAGTCACCTTAACAAACTGTGGATGCCTGTTGCATTTTGAGTATATTTCTGGTACATTTTTGAAACAATATCTAATTTATCTGGCCTTATGAGACCCTACTATTCGGATAAGTAGAATGAGTTTCCCCACCAGGCCTCTATTCAGAAGTTAAGTGAAACTTATGGTACCGAGAGGACTAAGCTATTTAAGATTATAGATATTAAGTCAAATCTCGGGCATGATCTCAACTTTTCACTTCAAGATGACAGAAGCCTTCTCGAAAACATCCTGCTGGAGGTTATCGATATCTCCGATAAGTTCTCTGAGGAGATAAGACA